CTGTTTATTATGCTAGTAGGCTGTAAGATGATGAATGTTGAATTAATAATCGACATCACAGCACTGGGGACACTCCCATAAGCCCTCTGTTCCCATCTTCAGCAGCAAGCGCAGAGTTAAAATTCCGATGGTCCTAGTAATAGTCTGATTGTATGTCCGTCTTGCCCCTCCCCCAAGTTTCGATCGTCAGCCAGATCCCCTTGTATCTCCTCGCAGTGCCATTTTCCTCAGACCGTAATGATCTATCTGTTTCTCGGCACTGTTCACTCGCTCCCAAAGGGCCCTCACAACATCCAGCTAGTCATATATCAGTTCACCACCAAGTGGTGCAGAACCAGCCAGTCTATCCGCTTGCTCATTTCCCAAAACACCAGCGTGACCTGGAGAAAATATCCAAAGGATGCTAACTACCCAGGACCTCTAAAATTATGCTTGCCACTCTGCATGGAGTATGCCTGTCTCCACCTTTCTCAGCATGTTCTGTGAGTCAATTACAATGATGATGAAAGACACAGTTTCTGTTTCTCATCTCGGTAGACTGTAAGATGATGAAAGACACAGTTTCTGTTTCTCATGCCAGTAGACTGTAAGATGATGAAAGACACAGTTTCTGTTTCTCATGTCAGTAGACTGTAATATGATGAAAGACAGTTTCTGTTTTTCATGCCAGTAGACTGTAAGATAATGAAAGACACAATTTCTGTTTCTCATGCCTGTAGACTGTAAGATTATGAAAGACACAGTTTTTGTTTCTCATGCCAGTAGACTAAGATGATGAAAGACACAGTTTCTGTTTCTCATGATTGTAGACTGTAAGATGGTGAAAGACACAGTTTCTGTTTCTCATGATTGTAGACTGTAAGATGGTGAAAGACACAGTTTCTGTTTCTCATGCCAGTAGACTGTAAGATGATGAAAGACAGTTTCTGTTTCTTATGCCAGTAGACTGTAAGATGATGAAAGACAGTTTCTGTTTCTCATGTCTATAGACTGTAAGATGATGAAAGACACAGTTTCTGTTTCTCATGCCAGTAGACTGTAAGATGATGAAAGACAGTTTCTTTCTCATGCCTGTAGACTGTAAGATGATGAAAGACACAGTTTCTGTTTCTCATTCCTGTAGACTGTAAATGATGAAAGACAGTTTCTTTCTCATGCCTGTAGACTGTAAGATGATGAAAGACACAGTTTCTGTTTCTCATTCCAGTTGACTGTAATATGATGAAAGACACAGTTTCTGTTTCTCATTCCAGTTGACTGTAATATGATGAAAGACACAGTTTCTGTAATATCATTCCAGTTGACTGTAATATGATGAAAGACACAGTTTCTGTTTCTCATTCCAGTTGACTGTAATATGATGAAAGACACAGTTTCTGTTTCTCATTCCAGTTGACTGTAATATGATGAAAGACACAGTTTCTGTTTCTCATTCCAGTTGACTGTAATATGATGAAAGACACAGTTTCTGTTTCTCATGCAGTAGACTGTAATATGATGAAAGAACAGACAGTTGAAAGACTGTTTCTCATGCCAGTAGACTGTAAGATGATGAAAGACACAGTTTCTGTTTCTCATTCCAGTAGACTGTAATATGATGAAAGACAGTTTCTGTTTCTCATGCCAGTAGACTGTAAGATGATGAAAGACACAATTTCTGTTTCTCATGATTGTTTACTGTAAGATGATGAAAGACACAGTTTCTGTTTCTCATTCCAGTTGACTGTAATATGGTGAAAGACACAGTTTCTGTTTCTCATTCCAGTTGACTGTAATATGATGAAAGACACAGTTTCTGTTTCTCATTCCAGTTGACTGTAAGATTATGAAAGACACAGTTTTTGTTTCTCATGCCAGTAGATTGTAAGATGATGAAAGACAGTTTCTGTTTCTCATGCCTGTAATATGATGAAAGACACAGTTTCTGTATGATTGTTGATAAGATGATGAAAGACACAGTTTCTGTTTCTCATTCCAGTTGACTGTAATATGATGAAAGACACAGTTTCTGTTTCTCATTCCAGTTGACTGTAATATGATGAAAGACACAGTTTCTGTTTCTCATTCCAGTAGACTGTAATATGATGAAAGACAGTTTCTGTTTCTCATTCCAGTTGACTGTAAGTTGATGAAGGACACAATTTCTGTTTCTCATGATTGTTTACTGTAAGATGATGAAAGACACAGTTTCTGTTTCTCATGATTGTTGACTGTAAGATTATGAAAGACACAGTTTCTGTTTCTCATGCCAGTAGACTGTAAGATTATGAAAGACACAGTTTTTGTTTCTCATGCCAGTAGACTGTAAGATGATGAAAGACACAATTTCTGTTTCTCATGCCTGTAGACTGTAAGATGATGAAAGACACAGTTTCTGTTTCTCATGCCTGTAGACTGTAAGATGATGAAAGACAGTTTCTGTTTCTCATGCCAGTAGACTGTAATATGATGAAAGACAGTTTCTGTTTCTCATGCCTGTAGACTGTAAGATGATGAAAGACAGTTTCTGTTTCTCATGTCAGTAGACTGTAAGATGATGAAAGACACAATTTCTGTTTCTCATGCCTGTAGACTGTAAGATGATGAAAGACACAATTTCTGTTTCTCATGCCTGTAGACTGTAAGATTATGAAAGACACAATTTCTGTTTCTCATGCCTGTAGACTGTAAGATGATGAAAGACACAATTTCTGTTTCTCATGTCTATAGACTGTAAGATTATGAAAGACACAGTTTTTGTTTCTTATGCCAGTAGACTAAGATGATGAAAGACACAGTTTCTGTTTCTCATGATTGTAGACTGTAAGATGGTGAAAGACACAGTTTTTGTTTCTTATGATTGTTGACTGTAAGATGATGAAAGACACAGTTTCTGTTTCTCATGCCTGTAGACTGTAAGATGATGAAAGACACAGTTTCTGTTTCTCATGCCTGTAGACTGTAAGATGATGAAAGACACAGTTTCTGTTTCTCATGCCTGTAGACTGTAAGATGATGAAAGACACAGTTTCTGTTTCTTATGCCAGTAGACAGTAAGATAATGAAAGACAGTTTCTTTCTCATGTCTGTAGACTGTAAGATGATAAAAGACACAGTTTCTGTTTCTTATGCCAGTAGACTGTAAGAAAGACAGTTTCTTTCTCATGTCTATAGACTGTAAAATGATGAAAGACACAGTTTCTGTTTCTCATGCCAGTAGACTGTAAGATGGTGAAAGACACAGTTTCTGTTTCTCATGATTGTAGACTGTAAGATGATGAAAGACACAGTTTCTGTTTCTCATGCCAGTAGACTGTAAGATGGTGAAAGACACAATTTCTGTTTCTCATGCCAGTAGACTGTAAGATGATGAAAGACACAGTTTCTGTTTCTCATGCCAGTAGACTGTAAGATGATGAAAGACGCAGTTTCTATTTCTCATGCCAGTAGACTATAAGATGATGAAAGACAGTTTCTGTTTCTCATGCCAGTAGACTGTAAGATGATGAAAGACACAATTTCTGTTTCTCATGCCTGTAGACTGTAAGATGATGAAAGACACAGTTTTTGTTTCTCATGATTGTTGACTGTAAGATGATGAAAGACACAGTTTTTGTTTCTCATGATTGTTGACTGTAAGATGATAAAAGACAGTTTCTGTTTCTCATGCCAGTACACTGTAAGATGATGAAAGACACAGTTTCTGTTTCTCATGCCTGTAGACTGTAAGATGATGAAAGACACAGTTTCTGTTTCTCATGATTGTTTACTGTAAGATGATGAAAGACACAGTTTCTGTTTCTCATGATTGTTTACTGTAAGATTTTGAAAGACACAGTTTCTGTTTCTCGTGCCAGTAGACTGTAAGATGGTGAAAGACACAGTTTCTGTTTCTCATGATTGAAAACTGTAAGATGGTGAAAGACACAGTTTCTGTTTCTCATGATTGTTTACTGTAAGATTTTGAAAGACACAGTTTCTGTTTCTCGTGCCAGTAGACTGTAAGATGGTGAAAGACACAGTTTCTGTTTCTCGTTCCAGTAGACTGTAAGATGGTGAAAGACACAGTTTCTGTTTCTCGTGCCAGTAGACTGTAAGATGGTGAAAGACACAGTTTCTGTTTCTCGTGCCAGTAGACTGTAAGATGGTGAAAGACACAGTTTCTGTTTCTCATGCCAGTAGACTGTAAGATGATAAAAGCCACAGTTTCTCTTTTCAGATGGTAGCTGTGAAAGCATGATGGGTTAGATGCTGTGCTTCAGCTAAAAGGTCTTGAGTTTGAATCTAAATCACTGAAGGCTTTTTATGATTGACCTGAGCTGTCAGCATTGATTGGGTACCAGATAGTATACTGGCAAACAGTGATGGCCAGTGTCATGTTGACCGCATACCCCTGTACAAATATTGGTATCAATATTATTGTATGCCTTATAAGCTAACTTGTATGAGAGATGTCCTAATTGTTTCTCCCATTTCCAGGCCAACGTCGCCTTTGTTAGAATATTCTGATGTACATTGCCTAAACAACCAAGACTAACAGGCTAATGTTATCATCTGAGCAGTCTTTTAGAAGATGAACAGTTTGTCCAAGCTAATGAACGTGCAGATGTTGATGGTTCATGCATAACTTCTTTAGGACCTCACAGACTGACAACCTTATTTGTTGGCAGTTTCTGGTTTTACTGCCCAATTTTACCTTCTTTATTTTGCCATTGTTCTCTAATTTTAATGGCGCTCTCCAAAAACATTGCAAAGCAGAACAATACCAGATCATCTGTGGCTGACCTCTGTTGCCAGTATATGGGATTGTGAAACTGAATTCACAACTCCTAAGCTACAGATACTGACCTTGAGGGTATTGAATTAGAATTGATACCACAACAGCCTTAGCTATTCATACATTTTGCTATATTGTTTCGTTTTTTTTTTCTAACTCATTTTAACAAATTATATAATGCATTTATCTTGAAAACATACAAGTGAGTTTATAGTTTGAATGTCATTGTTGGCAATCATTTCAGATTGTGTTTGATGTCTTGATGCTTGACCGCCATGCAGACGACTTCCAGTTAAGCCATCAGTTGGATGATGAGAGGGAGCCAGTCTTTGGTAACATTGAAATTGAGAACACAGAAGTGTTGTCTTATCTGTACTGTGCTTATAGAAGGTATCAGATGGAGTTAGAGCAGGTATACATACTGTACTTGTTTGGTTTTGTATTCCCTATAGTAGACAGTATTCACTTTTGTGTTATTTTCTCATCTTCATACATTCACCACACAAGTGAATATTTACTTTTGTCTGTGTTTTCTTATATGAGTGCATTCACCACGCAAATTAATATTCACTTTTGTCTTTGTTTATACATCTTCACGCATTCACCACACAAGTGAATATTTACTTTTGTCAGTCTTTTTTCTTCTTCACCATACAGATTAATATTTACTTTTATGTTTGTTTTCTCTTTTTTATGGATTCATGGCACCAACAGTATTTACTTTATCTGTTTGTTTCCTCTAGTATATTGATAATGATATCAGTGGGGAGATTACTAGAGATGTACATACATGATGTCAGTGGGGGATTAAATCTAGAGATGAACATGAATGATGTCAGTTGGGAGATTACATCTAGAGATGTGTATGAATGATGTCAGTGGAAAGATTACTAGAGATGTACATGAATGATGTCAGTGGGGAGATTACATCTAGAGATGTACATGAATGATGTCAGTGTGGAGATTAAATCTAGAGATGTACATGAATGATGTCAGTGGGGAGATTACTAGAGATGTACATGAATGATGTCAGTAGGGAGATTACATCTAGAGATGTACATAAATGATGTCAGTGGGGAGATTGAATCTAGAGATGTGCATTAATGATGTCAGTGGGGAGATTGAATCTAGAGATGTGCATTAATTATGTCAGTGTGGAGATTAAATCTAGAGATGTGCATGAATGATGTAAGTGGGGAGATTAAATCTAGATATGTACATAAATGCTGTCAGTGGGAAGATTACTAGAGATGTACATGGATGATGTCAGTAGGGAAATTACATCTAGAGATGTACATGAATGATGTCAGTGGGGAGATTGAATCTAGAGATGTGCATTAATGATGTCAGTGGGGAGATTGAATCTAGAGATGTGCATTAATGATGTCAGTGGGGAGATTAAATCTAGAGATGTACATGAATGATGTCAGTGGGGAGATTAAATCTAGAGCTGTGCATTAATGATGTCAGTGGGGAGATTAAATCTAGAGATGTGCATTAATGATGTCAGTGGGGAGATTAAATCTAGAGATGTACATGAATGATGTCAGTGGGGAGATTACTAGAGATTACATAAATGATATCAGTGGGGATATTAAATCTAGAGATGTACATGAGTGATATCAGTGGGAAGATTACTAGAGATGTGCATGAATGATGTCAGTAGGGAGATTGCATCTAGAGATGTACATGAATGATATCAATGGGGAGATTACTAGAGATGTACATGAATGATGTCAGTGGAGAGATGTACATGAATGATGTCATTGGGGATATTAAACCTAGAGATGTACATGAATGATGTCAGTGGGAAGATTACTAGAGATGTACATGAATGATATCAGTGGGGAGATTAAACCTAGAGATGTACATGAATGATGTCAGTGGGAAGATTACTAGAGATGTACATAAATGATATCAGTGGGGAGATTACTAGAGATGTACATGAATGATGTCAGTGGGAACATTACATCTAGAGATTAGCATGAATGATATCAGTGGGGAGATTACATCTAGGGATGTGCATGAGTGATGTCGGTGGGGAGATTACATCTAGAGATGTACATAAATGATGTCATTGGGGAGATTAAACCTAGAGATGTACATGAATGATGTCAGTGGGAAGATTACTAGAGATGTACATGAATGATATCAGTGGGGAGATTAAACCTAGAGATGTATATGAATGATGTCAGTGGGAAGATTACTAGAGATGTACATGAATGATGTCAGTGGGAACATTACATCTAGAGATTAGCATGAATGATGTCAATGGGGAGATTACATCTAGAGATTAGCATGAATGATATCAGTGGGGAGATTACATCTATGGATTATGTGAATTGTGATTTGATTTAAAAAAATTAAATCTAGAGATGGACAAGAATAATGTCAGTGGAGAGATTGCATCTAAAGACGTACATAAATGATGATGTCACTGAGAAGATTACATCTGGAGATGTACATGAATGAAATCAAATGGAAAGTTTACGTCTAAAAATGTATGTGAATGATGAAGTCAGAGAAGATTACAAATAGCGATTATGTGAGTGATTATTTTATTCGAAAAATTAAATCTAGAGATGGACAAAAATGATTTAAGTGGAGAGCTTACATCTTAAGATGTACATGAATGATAAAGTCATGGAGAAGATTACACCTAGAGATGTATGTACATACCCTTAACTGACCGTACATGCCATTAATAAACTATCTTTTACAGTAAGAAAAAGTGTTCAGGTGCTACATAGAACCTGTGCTATTTGTATGTATTTGCAGCATGGACATTAAGCACACCTACAGAGAACAATCTAATGACATTGAACAAGTGGTTTGGGGGAAAGGTGCAACATTTTCTGTAGGAATTTTTAATTTGTGTGTTGTTTCACTGGCTACCATAGTGTTTTAACATCATTCTGTAAAAGTTCAGTGCATGATTCATACCTATCTACTTGAGTCTGACATAGACACCATGCTTTCATGCCAACCCAGTCCAGTGGTTATGTGATATATATATAAGCATCTCTTTGCATTTGTGCATTGCTGTACTTTAACTTTTTATTTTTAGGGTACAGTTTTTTTTTTTTTGCAGCTTCAACTGCTGCCTAAGGCAATTGTTTTCCAATTGTAGGGAGCCCAAACAGAAGGCGTCAGCTTATTTCTTCAAGAGTGCAGAGATGTGATTTTGCTGAATGCCAGAATGTGTTTACAGCAGCCAGAGCTGTATCAGTATCAGGACTTTGTCAGTCAGTTCATTTATTTATGCCTGGAAGAAGACCTCCCTACCCAAGGTGATGACAGTTTGAGCTGGATGCATGTCAGATAACTATTTTGTTCTGTGTTAAATGCCATTGTTGTCTGTAGCAAACACTAATGTGTTTTGTTTTAAATGTTATATCCTATATTAAATACTATTATATTCATACTTGAATGGTATTATTTGTACCTGTACATGCTATTATAGGGCAAGTCTCAGTTGAAAATGAGCTGCTACAAACATCAAAATCATGTTACATGTGACTAAAAAATCTACTACGAGAGAGAGAGAGAGAGAGAAAGGGGAGGGGGGGGGGGGGGGGGTAGGGAGAGAATCAGAATATAGGCCACTAACTATACATCTGATTTAGCTGAAATATATTTTCTAAAACTACTTTGGTAGTTCAGGGTTCAAAAAGAAATTACAGCATTGTGTGTGCGTGTGCCGGGGCTTTGGGGCTGATCCTGCCTCATTGAGTGGATACCGGATAGTGTCCAGAAATGCTGGGAAAGAAAGATGAGGTGGAAGAGAACTGGTTGACACACTGGATAGTTCACTGCCTAGAATATGTGCAGGCCAATCACTTGACACCCTGACAGCAGCGTCTGCTATGGGAATAACATGACCTTTAACTATTGTATGACCTCTACATTTTTTATTCTGTTAAATATGTTTTTTTCTCTTCAGATCCCAAAAACTACCCCTGCCATTTTTTAAGGGAAGTGTCTGAGGCAATAGAAAGCAACAGTGATCAGGGCTCATTGATCCAGTCATTCCAGCCCATTCTTCAAGAGGTTAAAGTGAGACTGACTGCTGAGAACATGAGCATAGTTCACAAGGATGCAATCAAGTATGTTAAAGTGCTGCATTTTTTCACTGGCACTGCAGCACTGGCCAGGGTAAGAAACCTGTGTTGATGTAAATATTGAAGTTTTTTTCCACACTTGACCTGGAAATGACACTGGTTGTGATATCATGCTCTTGTGCAAGGGGCGATATAATATCTATGTGTTTCAGTTTATGTGAGCTTTTTATTAAATAAACTGCAGTGTCCTGATTTTGTGTGTGGAAAATATACTATAATAATGTTATCCTTCGTAAGGCTATGGCCAGTAATCTTACACAAATTTTTTTTTTTTTTCAGATAGTAATTTTAATTTGTGCTCAGCGTTTCTCTTATATTTACTGCTAAATGAATTTAAAATGCATTGCATGACAAATATAAGTACCGTTTGAAACATTAGTGACCGGAAGAGCCAGATTTGTACTCAGTTTGTAACCCTTGTTCTTTCATTAATTGTGATTCAGATATGGGACTAGGTATCCTCTTCATTATATTCCTGGCAAGGAATTAGACCACAGAGTTATTGATTTATAGATTAACATGTTTCAAAGGATGCAGTTCATTTCATATTCTCATCTGAGAAATGTTTTTATTGAATACAGTTTACAGTGTAATTGAGTGTATATGTCTTTTCTTGTAGACTTTCCTGTCCCTCAACACTCCAGAACCTTCTCATAATTTCCATGGAAGAATTTATGAAATGACACCAATTGGAGCAGCTCTGAGTCTCAGTGTCCTTCCACGTGCAGAAAGTGGTCCTTTCCAGTTTTTCTCCAAGCCATCAACTCAGAGTAAAAAAGAGGTGGACATGGTTGAAGCCAGTGTCTGGGGGGTAAGTCAGTGTAACTTCACTGTTTGTGTGTGGGGTGGGGGGGGGGACTCAGTATAACTATTATGTGTGACAGGATGGGGTTAAATGAGTGTAACATTATTGTGTGTGTTTGTGGTGGGTGTTTGAAGGTAAATCAGTGCTACTTCATTGTGTATCTGTAGTGGGGAGTACGTCACTGTAAATTTATTATGTGTGGGGGGCGGGGGGGGGGGTGTAATTCACTGTAACTTCATTATGTTTAGGGGGTGGGGGGGTGGTTAAGTTAATGTAACTTTATTATGTCGTGGGGGGGGGGGGGATAAGTGTAAATTCATTATGTGGGTTGTTGATAATTAGATACACAAATATTGGTTCTTTTGGATTATAGATAATTAGATACACAAACGTTGGTTTTTTTGGGGTTATAAATAATTAGATACACACAAACATTGGCTCTTTTGAGCTATACATCATTGGATACACACGAACATTGGTTCTTTTGGGTTATAGCTAATTAGCCACTCATGGACATTGGTTCTTTTGGGTTATAGATAATTAGCCACACACGAACATTGGTTCTTTTGGGTTATAGCTAATTAGCCACACACGGACATTGGTTCTTTTGGGTTATAGCTAATTTGCCACACACGAACATTGGTTCTTGTGGGTTATAGCTAATTAGCCACACACGAACATTGGTTCTTTTGGGTTATAGCTAATTAGCCACACACAGACATTGGTTCTTTTAGGCTAAATATGATGAGATACACTCAGAAATTAGTTCTTTTGGACTAAAGATAATTATATATACATAAACATTGGTTCTTTTGAGTTGTAAATAATTAGATACACACAGATATTAATTCTGCTGGGCTGTAGATAATTAGATACACACAGACATTTGTTATACTATGGTTTTAGATATCTGGAAATACATAGATCTTATAATGTCTTGATTCCCACTTTATTCCGTCACTAAACAAAAATCTTCATTTACTGGACACATTTTGGGAGAGTGGGACAGCTGGATTTTCAATTCATACATAGGAATTTAATGTCATTTTTTAATATAAGACATTTTTGAATTTTGAAAGTCTTTTGTCAGAAAAAATATTGTTTCTTATAGTTTGTAAAATACTAAATTCATACGTTAGGATATAATAAACATAGGATTACAGGATACCTTTACACCCGGCAAAAGGATATCCCTGGTTTCAAGATATTGCCATTTATTTCTTGAAGCTACCTTATATGGGCTAATGGGTCCTAAAATATGGGCTGAAAATATGCACAGAATGCCACTGAGTATGGAGAATGGGCATTTAACTTTGTTGACTGTAACGACCACAAGTAGAAAAGGCAGACCTAGAGTGATGATAACGGTGATGAATCACAGATATTGTGGTCATATAATGTTTTGTTTTTGCCACAACAGGCAACGAAGGATCTCATTGGTGGCATTCACAAAATCTTTGTGGATCTCATGAAAGTCACACCAGACATGAAACATTATACACTGAGATGGTTGGGTTTGTGCATTCAGGGAAACACAGGTATTGTAACGTCACATTGGTTTTTTATGTGGCCATCAGGTGCCTCATGTATTCTATATTTGTTTTGTTTTTGGGATTGTTAGCTGGTATCTGGGCCATTAAACCAATGCTTTCAGCTTTTTTAAAGCATTGTTGCATGTGACTATTGTCAGTGTACGATCCTTAACTGTTTGCTGCCAATTTGTTTAAGATAATGGGTTTAAGCTGAAATATTAATATAGCTCCTGGGTGGATCGCTTACTGACATTAACGAAGTATGCCAAATATTTTATGTCTGTTTTTCCATTTCATTCTACAAGTATGTGTGAAATCTATTCTGACACCTCTGGCCTCTCTCGTCAGTGTTTGATGTTGGGCTTAATTGAACATGCTAACTTCCTCAGTCCATCAGATATTGAATGTGTCCTTTCTGTGTAAGCTCCATGGCTCAATATTAGGGCACCCAACAAAAATAGATCCTCTTTCCCCTTATAAAAATGTCATAAAAGGTTACTAACTAGAGTTTTTCCTTCCAAATCAGAGTTGCACTTGCCTGATAAGTGGGGAGCCAGAAATCTGCATACAAATAAGCTAGATTTGTAGTCAGATATGTACACAGAACTCAAGTTCTTGAACAGGACCAAAGTCTGTAAGTGGATAAACAACCAAAACTTTTCACCAGGGCTTACAGCCTGTGAGCTTAAGTAGAATAAGAAGAATAATGTCCCATTTAAGTGCAAGTTTTGTGATTCTTTGACTGCCTCATAAAGAATCTGCTAAATATACCACCATTTTCTGTTTCTTAGTCCACCATTTTCCATCATATAATGGAGTTTTCAGTTTCTTCCCTTTTTGTTATGTGCTGATAGCCTAATGCTTGTAGAAATTAAAGGTTTCATAGTTAAGATCTGACAGTGGTAGAATGATGATTGTGGGAATATAAGGTGTCATAGTTCAGATCTGGCAGTGGTAGAATGATGATTGTGGGAATATAAGGTACCATAGTTCAGATCTGACAGTGGTAGAATGATGATTGTGGGAATATAAGGTACCATAGTTCAGATCTGGCAGTGGTAGAATGATTATTGTGGGAATATAAGGTGCCATAGTTCAGATCTGACAGTGGTAGAATGATTATTATGGGAATATAAGGTGTCATAGTTCAGATCTGGCAGTGGTAGAGTGATTATTGTGGGAATATAAGGTGTCATAGTTCAGATCTGGCAGTGGTAAAATGTTGATTGTGGGAATATAAGGTGTCATAGTTCAGATCTGGCAGTGGTAAAATGATGATTGTGGGAATATAAGGTGTCAGTTCAGATCTAACAGTGGTAGAATGATGATTGTGGGAATATAAGGTGTCAGTTCAGATCTGACAGTTGTATATTGATGATTTTAGGGATATAAAGTGTTGTAGCTTAGATCTGGCATTGTTAATTAGATGGTTTTAGAAATAGTATTCGAGTTCAGATCTGGCAGTGGTAGAAAGATGATTGTAGAAATTTGAGGTGTTGTAGTTCAGATCTGGTAGTGGTAGATTGATGATTGTAGGGAGAAAGCTGTCATAGTTCAGATCTGGCAGTGGTAAAATAATGATTGTAGGAATAAAAGGTGTTGTAATTCAGATCTGGCAGTGGTAAAAAGATGATTGTATTAATATAAGGTGTCATAGTTCAGATCTTGCAGTTATAGAGAGATGATTATAGAATTATAAGGTGTCATAGTTCAGATCTGGCAGTGGCAGAGTGATGATTATAGGATTATAAAGTGTCAGTTCAGATCTGGCAGTGGTAGAGTGATGATTATAGGATTATAAGGTGTCTTAATTCAGATCTGGCAGTGGTAGAGTGATGATTATAAGGTGTAATAGTTCAGATCTGACAGTGGTTGAGTGATGATTATAAGGAGTTGTAGATAAAGTCAGAGACTGGTAATATGAAATTTTAAGAATATAAGCTGTGATCATTCATATTTGTGACTGGCAGCATGATGGTTCTGGGAATGTGAGGAGTGACGTGAACATTTTAAAATGTAATTAAGGAACATAATCTTTAATTACTGACTTCTGTTCCAGGACGAGCAAAATTGTGGGCCAGTAATTTGCCTGCTGACCTGTTTGTTAGTGATGCTTTTGCTGTGAATGTGACCCACATGCTCCTGTTATTCTGCCGACCATTCTGTGATCCAAACTCTTACAAACTACTCAAGATCCAGCCAACATATGCAATTGCTACTGTCAATGGAGATAAAGAAATGCTACGACGGTCTGTTCATTTGCTGGGTAAGGTGCTGGGCCTGGTTTTTTTTATTCTTCAGCATCATTTTAAATTGGTATAAACATAATAGACTTATGGTATATAGAGATTTATCAGTTGCCCTTTCAAAACATGCTGGATCTAGCACTATCTGAGACATAGTTAAAGGTTTATGTGCAGCAGCGATATTTCTTCCCAGACAGGCTGGATCTTGCACTTTCTGAGACACTTAGTGATTTGTGTGGTACAATGACAGATAAAGTCATAATTTTAAAAGAAGATTTATTTTATGGTTTAAAATATGATAACAAGGTGCTACTTCCTTCGAAATTGGAGTAAATCTGCCTGATAAGCAAGAAACCAACAGTCTGCATTCAGATGAGTCAAACCTGTCAAACGAATGTGAGCGCAACACTCAGTTTCTGAAACACAACTGGAGTCCAGAGGTGGACAAACAACCAAAACTTTCCCCCCGAGTTAACAGCCAGTGAATACGAAAAAGAAGATGCTGTAAAATATTTTGAACAAGAATGTTTATTCCTAATGATAAAGGTAACTAAGAATCTCAGTATGGTATTTGTGTTCTCACTGTTAGCATTTTGTCAACTATTTTTTCAGGAATGCAAAAAGAAACCCATCTCATTCCTGCAGATGAAGTAGACAAGGAAGTAGAGGATGATACATTCTCTTTTATTACAGAGTGTTTTTTTATCACTCACAAAGCTATACAGGTAATCTTCTATTTGGTTTTGACTGTAAAAGCAGGTGTCATGCTTTTAAAAAAAGTGATGGGACTTGAAAACTGAAGGAAATAGTGAAATGTGCTCTGGAGTGGTAAAGATAGCACTGTTCTTCTTAGCTGTTCCAGCACACAATGTTTTGGTAGAAAGATTACTTTATTTAATCCATGCTTAATGGACCAGTTAAAGAAATCATCTTAATGTTGATTCAGTCATATTAATTTGACTTGTAAAATTTAATTTCAAACATTTCATATGCAATCAATTTAATGGACACTTGATGTTAAATAAAATCTTTCTTAACATTTAAAAAAAAAATCCTGATGTTGTCCTCATTTCAGAAGGTAAAAATATGGAAGTGTCCTCATTTTTTGAAGATCAGAATATGGTAACCATAAACTATCTACTGTACACTGTAGAGGGACTACAATTTTATGATAAAATCACTGATATGGGATGAACTGAACAGATTCCAGTGAATCAGACTGGTTACATTTAAGTGTGGGGTGTATTTGTTTTTAGTTAAATGAATTGATTTGTTTACTTTATCTTAATTTCTGTAACAAGCACCTGACAAGGTACAGTGAGTCAAACCAAACAGTAAATGTTGCAGTCTGTTGGGCCGTCTTTAATCAAATCTCAGGAAATCAGGGGTTGGGAAATAGATGCTGGCACTGGATAGGACAACAAATAATTGTTGATAAGATAACTAGTAAGTTCTGCCTACGGAACCAATAGGACACAAGAAATAGAGAGACCTAAAGAGAGAGACAGGAGTGAATAAATTAGGAGTTGCAGGAGAAAGCTACAGTTAGAAGGACTTGACATGAATAGCTCCAGGACCTATGTTCCAATGAAAAAATTAAATCCTGCAAAGGAAGAAAACTGCTTTGTTTTTTTTTTTTTTTTTTTTCAGCACATACTGATGATTTTATTCAATTATTTTTCTGTTTACTTTCAGAAATGCTGATTACTATGTCTGACAATTTCATCCTTTTTGTATGCATTCTATTCAAGATGACTTTACATTTCTTCATCTTGTGACATACACCAGGTGTTTTTGCAACCTGTGATAGGCCGTCTGCTATCTGTCAACCGTGACCTGCATCAGATACAGAGACTGTACAATGAAGTTATTCAACAGTCACAGGGAAATGAAGAGCCTGTTCTCAATATCAAAAGCAGAATGGAGAAAGGTATTTAATCTGTTGAATGTTTGCATGCAGATTTTCAGTTTTATCAGACAGGCAATATAAGGTATATGTATGCAGTATCGTATAAGATACATTAAAGGTTAAAATGATATTGATCTTCATCAGTCTCTGATTTAGTTTAGTTGTGCACTGTGCCAAACTCAACTCAGAAGCTGGGCAATGAAGTTATATCCTTTCAGTCTACAGCCGTTGCAAAAATGCAACGGCTACGGTCTGGCAGAAGCAAAAAATTTGCCACTGCTCGAAACAGTGGCCGTGTTAAGCGTCCATTTTGACCAGGTGCTAATGTAAATAGTTTTAGATACTAGAGATATTTACTACACAACTTCTCTGCCGGGAGTCGCCGTGGCATAATGGCTAGGCCCCACACGTGCAGATCGGAAGGTCGTGGGTTCGCTCCCTGGCGGAGCCAGACTTTTCAAAAATGACATTGACTCCCAGGTGGACCCAGCCTTGAGTGGTAACCAAGTGCAGTCCCAGGAAGTATAGGCGACTGGCATGATGCTGACCACATTACCCATCTTGTGGCGATTGGTCTATACAAATTTTAATTTAGCCCTATATGCCCTATACGCCTAAAGGTGTGGAAAAAGGACCTTTACTTACTTTACTAACTTCTGTGCCAAAGTAAATAGTGTTAGACAGTAGAGATATTTGCACAATTTCTGTGCCAAAAGTAAATAGTGTTAGATACTAGAGATATTTACTCAGCTTCTGTGCCAAAGTAAATAGTGTTAGATGGTAGAGATATTTACTACACAACTTCTGTGCCAAAGTAAATAGTGTCAGATGGTAGAGATATTTACTGCACAACTTCTGTGCCAAAAGTAAATAGTGTTAGATGCTAGAGATATTTACACAGATTCTGTGACAAAGTAAATAGTGTTAGACAGTAGAGATATTTGCACAATTTCTGTGCCAAAAGTAAATAGTGTTAGATGCTAGAGATATTTACTACACAACTTCTGTGCCAAAGTAAATAGTGTTAGATGGTAGAGATATTTACTACACAACTTCTGTGCCAAAGTAAATATTGTTAGATACTAGAGATATTTACTACACAACTTCTGCACCAAAGTAAATAGTGTTAGATACTAGAGATATTTACTACACAACTTCTGTGAAAAAGTAAATAGTGTTAGATACTAGAGATATTTACTACACAACTTCTGTGCCAAAGTAAATATTTTTAGATACTAGAGATATTTACTACACAACTTCTTTGCCAAAGTAAATAGTGTTAGATGGTAGAGATATTTACACAGATTCAGTGCCAAAGTAAATAGTGTTAGACAGTAGAGATATTTACTCAACTTCTGCGCCAAAGTAAATAGTGTTAGATACTAGAAACATTTACACAACTTATGTGCTAGAGTAAATAGTGTTAGATACTAGAGATATTTACTACACAACTGCTTTGCCAAATTAAATAATGTTAGATACAAGGTTTTTACACAAGCTCAGTGCCAGGGTAAATAGTGTTAGACAATAGAGATATTTGCACAACTTCTGTGCCAAAATTAATAGTGTTAGACACTGGAGATATTTACACAAATTCTGTACCAAAGTAATTAGTGCTAGATATTAAAAATAATTACACTTGCCTGTCAGCTCAAAAGTCTTAAGTCTAGTTCACACTGAGGAGGATTTGTGTAAATGAACTTGGCTCCCGGGTTGGTCCAGTCTAAAGTGAGTACCCCGAAATAGCTGTGAAGGTGGCCAGCAATCATATTGGCATTGCACATTGAGTACTTGTTAGTATATCAAAGATAGTCTAGCACTTTATAGCCATTGCACTCCTGGCAAGTGAAAAGGACTTTTACTACTTACCTTTTTGTTAGAGATATTTACACAATTTCTTTATCACAGTGAATAATGCTATGCTATATACCAGAGGTAATTACAGTTTCTATGTTATTAAGCAGTAGGAAATTCTCTTATTGCAGCAATGTCCTTCTATCTGAACCGCAAGGCAGCATTAACACAGCCAGAGCTGCTGTCTCTAGCACTGAGGTTCCAGATAGCATCATCTGCCTGGCTGTGTCGCCTGGCTACCATGAAGCTACCAAAAGCAGCAGATGTGGATGCTAATACCAAGGCAAGTTATCATTTTCATTGTTTTATTGATATGGTTAACAGTGGTGCCACAGTAAAGTTGTCATAACGTAAGATTAGGATGAAGATGCACAGTTAGACCATCTTAAAATATTGCTATAGAATAGACAAAATATTGTAACAAAAACCAGTTAATTTAAGTGGCTGTATTTGTATGGGATTGAGGGATATTTGGTTGTGTGTGGGAGGGGTAATTTCTGTAGATTTTTTAAAAACGTTTTCTGTAAAGGATACTTTATATTAATTTATGATTATGTCCTTATAGTTTTAATTAATTCTGCCTTCCTCTCTATGTTGTAGTGGTTGGTCATGTTTTAATTGTTACCATGGTGTTGTAGAGTCTGTACTGACATTGAACTGCTTAAGGTAATAGTAATTACTAGGGCTGTACCAAAAAGGGATTTTTACTATTCGGCTGAATACGAATAGCGAGACAAACTATTCAGCCAAATTTGAATACGAATAGTTATCATCATCATCATCATCAGGTGCCTTGCCGACTGGCGTGGGCCTTGCCACAATCTGCGATCTCCTGCAGCATGTATTAGTTCGTGTGACGCACCTCCATGCCATTCAACAAGACTGTCAAGAATCTTCTCTCATTGTCTTCCTCTATCCCTCCTTCCACAGATCTTTCCAGTGGTCACAACATGTTCCATTTTCCCTCTTCTCATTACATGGCCGAAAAATAATGACTGTCTCCTTTTGATGTCTGTGTTTAGTTGTCTTCGGGCTCCCGCCTCTTTCAAAACCTCTTAGTTTGTTGTTTTTGCTGTCCAAGGTATTTTAAACATTGTTTTATACAACCACATCTCTGAGGCCTCAAGAAATTGTTTGGCCTGCCTACCGATTGTCCAGGAGTCACAGCCATATGTTAAAACTGGACGCTGTACCGCGCAACCAGGTCGCAGTTGCGCCCGCTATGACAGACTTAGGTAACAGCAACTATTGTGTTAATGAGAGAGTTATTTCAGTCTGTCACAGTGTATGCAGAAACGGGTGTAAGGTAACTACTATTTGTATTCGGCTTGACCGCAAGTATTCGGCCAAATAGTTATTAGGTCTATTCGGCCCCGAAGCGAATACGAAAAAAATATTCGGTACAGCCCTAGTAAAAACATGAAAGATACTAGTATCTCATTAGAATAGTACTAGGTCGTGACATGGAGTGACTTATTTCCTTTGTTGCTGTCTTTCCTGCCATATATTTTCCAAAAAAGTATGGGTTGTCCTGTGCCTATTTTACAAGGTTGTTTCAACTTGAGTGTCACATTGGTCAGAAAAACTTTCCTAAAGTAACTAGGAAATAAAATATGGCGTGATGTCAGTATACAGACACACACAATCTGATGAGGTTAAATTTGCTGTGATGGGTATTTTGATCTCCTGACACTTGTGACTGTGTGAACGTACTGTCTTGCTTTACAGTAAGTAAGAAGAGTTGTATTGTAAGACGATTCCTGCAGATTTTACAGAACCTAATATAAAAACATCTACCCTATTTTCCTGTAGTGCACAGTGGATATGTGGATCTTCACAAGACCTGAACTAACTGGTAGAAATTTTGGGAGCAACAGATAAATAGAACCCTTAGCGGGTGGTATATGTGACATTGATCAGTTAACTACCAGTTGTATGCAAAACACCACTGGAAAACTGTGACGCTAGACTTGGAAGATACACAGAACAAGGTACCGTTTGAAAAAACTGATACACCAGCTCCTAAATATCAACAGAATGGAAGTTGTTAGTCTAAAAAATCTTGAAAACATTCTCAGGAGGATATTGGAGCTCTTATGGTCACGGTCACGTCCAATGTGACCTTTAAATTAACAGTGAAAAATCGCTCGTGAGTCACATGACCCAAGTCTAAAATAAATGAATGTGCAAAGGGCAGCTGGGGCGGCAGTCATGGATGTCTGTGAACAGATGAGGCAGCAGCAGGTATAATAACTCCCTCTGTCTTATAGCTGAAGACTTCAACACTCAGTTCAGGAGTGGGGAAAGCTGTGACAAAATGGAACTGCACTGGTCAACACCAGTCTCACTTTAGTTTAATGTGGCCACACTGCACTATTAGAAACTAGATCAAGGGACTCATATGAATGATGGATTTGGCTTTTTTCTTCTTCTATGTTTGCCTTAAGATGGAAATTACTGTTGGCACATTATGTTGTGGTTTATAGTTAGGCTGCCACATCTGCGTCTAGAAACAGACACATTTAACCTAATCATTCTTCACAGACTGTGCAGATAGTAGACAGTAAATACATTGTTAGCTTCGTAATGTTCATTATATGTCAGATTACATCTGACTTAGAAAGTAAAATCTTCTGTTTTTATTAGGTACCAGAGCTTCAGTTTCCCCTGGAGGATTCTGTGCCTGGAGTGTTGGCCTGCATCCCCGAGTTTGTGGCAGAGAACATCTGTCATATCATCAATCATATACACAGGTTTGAGGACAGCATACTGGAGTCAGAAGAGAACAAGTAGGTTGTTGGCATCTCTGCTGCTGGTTGTACTTGACAGTGACAGGCATAATAAGAACACAAAACAATATATTGCACAATGCATTGCCTGGAAATGTTGATGGGAAAAGAGCAAAGAGATAAATACCTGGAATAGGAAGAGATAGGAGCGCTGATCATATCCATAGTTTTGGGGATAAATGGGATGTTGAAACATGACATGCTCTTACGACAGACATAATATGAACATATAATGAAGCACATCAAATAGATTTTTTCAACTAAAGTAAGCAAACCACATAGTCCATTGTTACACTATACATCTGATCACGGAGATCCATAAATGGAGTCGTCTTTCCTTATACCAGCTGCTTCCAAAACTTACAAGATGTGAAAAAACCTAGAAGGTACAGTCAGTATCCGTAACAATATCCCAGGCAGTAAATTGTACAAGGTAATCCAGTTCATAGCAGACACATTTTTGTGTGAATTAATTGAAGAAATTAAAGATCAGTGTCAGAAAACAACTATAATCACTGGTTGTTGGTTTTAATCATGATTGTCTGAATTGCATTAACATCATTGAGCCACATCTTTCATGCCAATTTTGGTGGTTATGTGTTCGGAGCATTATCAAGGCAAGAATTTTGTATTGAGCTTGACCTCCCAAAAATGGGTACCAGGACATGCATTGGGAAGTAAAGTTGGTTGAGATAACACTGACACATCACTGATCTGGTGTCAGTGGTTCTTTACAGATATGATGCCAGTACACCTTAAGTGTCAGTGCAGTGCCTTGCTCTCCGGCTGGCCAAATGCTCTTGTATTCAGATCCACCTCAAGATGAAATTTATACAACCCTTGGCTTCCAGATTGACCAAACCAGAAATGATGCCAAGAAATGTCTTCGGAAGTAGAGGTGACTGATGCAGTGTCAGCAACATCACCCATCAAATACTGATTGGTCTATAAAAATGGGGCTTTAGCAGCATGTTCCTGAAATGCCACTGGCATGAAATGGGGGCCTATACTTGTTGCATTGAATGTCCCTTAACACTTTGCTGACCAACTTCAACAATTGATGCATTTCTGGTCATATCCCTTGGTGACCAACTTTGACAATCGCCGAATTCGTGACATGTATACTGCAAACAGACGGCCTTACCGATAGTTTTTTAATTGATCTTCATCCGGGTATTTTTATTACTATCAGTTCCAAGGTATTGCTTTGAACCGATACAAGCATTGTTTTCAGCGCAATTGTGATCATATTCTTTACCAGCACATATTCAGACTTTTTATCATGTCTGGTGACGAAAACCAGACCCGTATAGTAGGGATGATTCGGAATCTGCCAGCGAATGTAGCTCTGAAAATAATCATTCTTGGAAAAGTAGAGATACACCGGTGTTGCCGTCATATTGCAACTGAAATGTGTACGATGGTACACTTGATGACAGAGGTGATGTAGGTACATCTGAGTAAAGAAGTGGGCATTGCACAAGAGACCAGAACATTTCTACAACTCAAAATGAACTTGTTAAGTTTGTCAAACTTCCTCCCTACTAAGAACAGCAAAGTGCCATGTCAGACACGATTGGGTGTGTGCCGATTAATTTGTTTCAAGTAAAAGCAGTTGAAACTGAAAAAGGCAGATCATCCTATTTTATGTGACAGAAGATAAATAAAGGCATGTTGGCCATTACTTGGCAAGACACTAAGAGAGTTCCCCTGATATCTATTGTTTACTGCAATGTGATGTTATGGACAAGACAGGAAACGTGAAATTCTTGAGGGCAGAATACTAAACAAGCCAGTTCTTGCAGGAAAATACAAAAACAGTATGGGGTTGTCGATCACTTCGGCCAGCTCGGTGCAGGCTATCCCTACCCACATATTTATTTATTTTTAGTTTAAACTGCTCTGGTCAGTGAGCATGTAAGCTACAATGACAGCAAAGAGGTACAAGCAGGATGTCAGTCTTGCTCTTATTGGACATGCTGTTCTTCGGCACAGTGTAACACCTTCAAAACCACACCTCACAGCATCATGACTTACTGAGCGCCATTTTTGTTTAAATATGAAATTCCAAGGTAAAGACTGTAAAGTATGTAAGGCGCGGGTGAAAGAAGACAGACCTACATATACTGGCTATGCTTGACGCCCTGTTTCAAGCTATACCACACAGATGAGAATTATCGGCATTCTTGACAGACTCTTGCAGAGGCCTTCAGTTACAGCTTCTACTCCACTTAATGAAGGAAGTAGCTCAGATTTCAACTTGAGGCCCTTTTACAATCAAGCATTCACAGATGCTCATTGTAATATGACAGACGGGGGGAAAATTTCACTTAATTCATATTTTTATTAGCTTTTAATGTTGAAATGTTTGGTTGGTCGTTAAATAACTGCTCCTGTTTAGCTAATTGTGTGCCATGTGCCAAAGATTTTATTGCACTGACATTGAACAAATTTACTTAAAACTAGAAACATTTGATGGTTTTAAAACATCTTCTGAAATTTCTATAAATAGCCAAACAAATTCAAGTTGACCACCATGATCATGTGACATATTTGCATATATACTTTTTCATGTTTAGCAACCTTTCATAATGGTGCTGTGAAGGTTTCAAAACCCTGCGCTCATTTTGGATTTTCTAATGAATTTAATTAGAAAACCATTTTGAAAAAACACAATCTACAAACACCTTGGTAATGGGAGACAGTAATGCACCGAATTTCTGGCCAGGAAAGTGTCAAAAGCATTAAATGCAACTAGTATAGGACCCATGCCTTAAGGAATGGGAAAAGAGTCCTTTTTAATTACCTCTCTTATGAAAATCATTACACATTTTTCAAATGTGAATAAAGAGAACATTGTACTTCACTTATTTCTATACTAGAAATTGTCCTGGTACCAATTGTGTATCACTGCTTATGTTGTGGTGGGTGTTTTTAAGTGACTGTAATCAAGCAAAAAGACTTCAGTATTCATCATACCTTTGACACCGCAGTAACACAAAAGATACTGTTTGTGTCTGGATACTGTAGTTATGACATGTTTGTTTATACTGAATGAGATTCATTTTGTTAAAGCGGTTGCTAAAAACAGATATGAAGCTGCCGAGGTGAAGTGGCTAGACACCTGCGAATCATGGATTCACGTCCTGGCGGAGCCAGACTTTTTTTTAAAGTGACCTTAGCTCCCAGGTTGACCCAGCCTTGAATGGGTTCCAGGTATAATCCTGGGAAGTAAAGGCAGTCGGCTTGATGCTGACCACATCGCCCATCGAATGCCGATTGGTCTGTGAAATATATGTCTAGCCCTATCTGCCCAGTACACCTGGAGATGTGGAAAATGGTCCTTTACTAATAGGAGGTAAATAAAACAGTTGTTTCCCTTATACCTCCGCTGGTTTGTGTAAGTTTTAATTCAGCAACCATTTGTCTGATAGAGAGACCCTGATCACGTGATGAGAAGAAAATAAACCAGAACATTTGACAGCTGGAAAGATTTGCAAGGAAGCAAGAGGAAGACTGGCAGAAGATTCACAGCAGCCTTCTTGTGATGACACAGACAGATGTGTGCACACAAATTGATACATGCTCATGCTGTAGGAGACTGCAAGATCTGGTGAAGCAAATGATGATGATTGTCAGTGACATCATGCTCATCTTTGCTGAAAAGAGTGCCGGTAAACTTGATAATAATGGTGCAGCTTTCATCAAAATGTTGTACGCATCTCCAGATTGTAAGAAATCAGTATCCTAACTACTCTGGATTGTATGAGATCAGTATCCTTCCCACTCTGCTTCTCACTGATTCCAGACATTTCTGTTGGTTACTTGCAGACTGGAGTATTTGCTGTCCTTCATCCTTGTGTTTATGAGCTGCCCCAAACGAATGAAGAACCCTCACCTGCGGGCAGAGCTGGCAGAGATGCTGGCTTCTCTCATGCCCATTCAACCAAACGAGGTGCATCCAGACCGACTGCTGGGCTCACAGTATGTGTATATCAGTACTTATCTTCACTGTCTACTTTGTTAATTGTTAGTGGTAAATATATCACTATTACACCACTCAGTTATATTAGCTTATATGTAGTGTTTACTGTCTGATTTGTTAATTGTTAATGGTAAATACATCACTGTTTCACTGTTCAGTTATATTAGCTTATATGTAGTGTTTACTGTCTGATTTGTTAGTTGTTAATGGTAAATACATCACTGTTACACTTTTCAGTTATATTAGCTTATATGTAGTCTTTACTGTCTGATTTGTTAATTGTTAATGGTAAATACATCACTATTACACTGTTCAGTGATATTAGCTTATATGTAGTGTTTACTGTCTGATTTGTTAATTGTTAATGGTAAATACATCACTATTACACTGTTCAGTAATATTAGCTTATGTGTATCTCATTGTTACATAAATAAGAAGGTAATAGTAAATAAATGTAAATACAAATATGGAATACAAATTTGATAGAATAGTCAAACATGGGTACGTACGTTGTCTAAACATGAGATCTTACAATAAATTGATGAATGGCAAAACCTTTTAAGCACATATAAAATTATGAGCAATGAAGAAACAGGTCAAAATGACAAGCAGGACAAATCAAAATGGCATGTACACATATTGACACATGTAAATTCTTTATTACCTCTCATTTTCCATTTTGATGCTCAATTTTCTTGGGTCTGTGTAAACATCTGTTACATATGTATGCATATATTTTCTAAACTATCATTATCATTTTTGTGATGATCTCATATCTGATTGGTTGTCAGTTTGTCAAACTTTTTAGATATCCTTGAATATTTTGTCCTCTTTGTGGTTTGCTTAGCTGAACAATTAGTACCAACAGGTAATACACACTGTGATATCTACTGGGTCAGGATATATCATTAGTTTGATGACTTCTGGCACATGTAACTGTTGAGTTGTGCATATCATGACAGCTCTAAGATGACCTAATGTATTTATTTCAATCTAGGTATTTCCGAGAGCAGTTGTTTGAAAGTCACCCACATGCATCATACATCCCAGAGACCGTAATGCATGTCTTTGTCAGCATTGAGATGACTGGGGAAAGTGTTGCCTTCGAGCAAAAGTTCAATTATAGAAGGCCTATGTACAGCATCCTCAAGTACATCTGGAACATTCCATTACACAAAGAAAAGATAAAGGTAGAAGGTTTCTTGTTTATACGAACAAAAACAGTTTTATTCATTCACATATACAATTATTTCAAAATATGTAATTTATTTGGAAAATGATTTCAGGTTCTGGGTTGAAATAGAAAAAGAACGGAAAGATGGAGATATAGTCAGCACGAAAATGAGAGAAATAGAGAATCGCACAGCAGGCAGTGAAATGAGAAACAAATGGACTAAGGATATGATATGCAAGAGACATCCTAAGATGAAATTGATAAGAGAAGCCAGAGGTGCTGGACTGGATTCCATAAGTGTCAGTTCAATAAAGGATTCTTGTTATGCCCATGGAGCATCTGTCATATGTTGCCAAACTCATATTTGTATGTTGCAGTCACACTCAGGGATACCAAGTTTAGGTTAAATCTAACTGGAAGTCAAGGTCAGTTCAGAAGGAGGAGGTCCATGATGCACAATTGAACCTAAGACCTTAGGGCTAGCAGGCATGTATCTTAACAGCTATACTGCCATGGATTCCTAATCTTGAAATTAAACAGGATAGAACTGAACAAAGGAGTTTGCTGCCATCCTTGTGTGGTGTGTCATCATCATCCCATAACACTACATGTCGTTGGGTCACCAGTTTCTGTTGACTGTCTGATCATTTCTCTCCACCTTTGGTGGTCAGTTGTGATGGACTTCATGCTTGCGTGCCTGAGGCCTGTCCAGTCAGTCAGATTCTGTAGCCAGGACTTGGTCTACCTCTTTTCCTCTTTCTCTACTATTGTTTTTGAGAGGTCGTTAGATCTTATTACATGTCCATACCACTACATTTTTTCGCCTTTCACTATAGTTAAAAGTGGTTCATAGTTGCCAATGTGCTGGATAATTTTATGGGGAACCTTTTCGTTTGTAATATGGTCTCTGTATGATATGCCAAGATTTTCTGAAACATCGCAATCCTAATGCTTATATCTTTCTGTCAAGTTAAGGTGTGGTGTGTAGATGACATAAAAGACGATGTTGATAATAGCTTTGTTCTCTGTGAGTATTCCAGGGCTCCATTTTGAGAACAAAGAATAGACCCATTGCCCCCTTCACAAGCATGTCGTCGAAAGTGACTAATTAGGGGTTTCCTTCAGAGTCAGAGTGCATCTGCCGAGAGGCAAGGAACCAATAGTCTGCATACAAATAATTTATATGTATAAAACAGATGTGCATACAGAACTCACAATCTTGATCAAGAGAAAAGTCCTGAAATGGATGAACCAGAACTTTCCACCAGAGTTTACAGCTGGTGAACACAAAGAAGATGAAAAAGAAGAATAGCTGCATGTTACAACTGAGGACCAATTTCTCTTCGAAACAAAAGTTCTTAGACAAAGATAGTATTTATGTTGCTTTTGATTATAACTTGTATTTGCTGAGAAATCTAGTATGAAAAGTATGAATGTATATTTTGTTACTTAAACTGATGATCGACCATCTCTACCACAGAGCCTTGCAAAAGTTGCAGAGGAGAATATAGTATGTTCAAACCCTCCCCTGTTTTTGAGGTTCATTAACTTGCTGGTCAATGATGCTACATACCTGCTCGATGAGGCTTTAATGGTTTGTAGTTGTTCTGTTTCACTTGATTCAACTGTAGGCACTTACAGCTGTTTAATTTCTCAGCAATATTACAACTGTACACACAACAGTTTAATCTGCCTGCAGTATTACAACTGTACACACACAGCTATTTAATCTTGCAGCAATATTACAACTGTACACACACAGTTGTTTAATCTCTCAGCAATATTACAATTGTACACACACAGTTGTTTAATCTCTCAGCAATATTACAACTGTACACACAACAGTTGTTTAATCTCTCAGCAATATTACAACTGTACACACAACAGTTGTAACTGTTTAAGCTCTGAGCAACATTACACCTGTGCACATGCAACTGTTTGCTATCCCAGTTAAATAACAGCTGCTATGTCATCACACATCCTCACGCTGCTTGATCACACAACTTCATGCTGTTTGTTTATAAATTCTCATCCTGTTTGTTTAATTCATTTTATTGCTGTTTACTCGCACAACTGGCCCCACTTCTTCGTCATCCAAAGATCTCGTTACCAGCCAAACAACGGATGATCAACAGCATTTTCATCCCTACGCAATGTTATCAGTGCCAAACGTGGACAATGAACAAATCACATATGCAAAAAATAACTACGTGTGAAATGCGATGTCTCCAAAGAGTCACCAACAATACACGAAGAGACAGAGTCACAAACGTCAGCATTAGAAACAAAGTTGGAACAAGAGCATGCATGGAACATATTGAAAGACAGAGAATGAAGTGGTTTGGCCATTTAGTAAGAATGCAACCGGATCAGATTGCCTATAAGGCCTTTTACAGTAGAACATCGGGAAGAAAGGCCAGAGGAAGACCCAGGAAAAAATGGATAGATGGAGTAGCTGAATACGGCCAGAAGATCCAGAAAACTGTCACTCAAATCACGCGAGAGGCACAAAACAATTATTTTAAACCACGACACTGGGCTGCAACCCGGTAACAGTGAAGAAGACAATAGATAGATAGACTCGCACATCTTCATTCTGCAAGATCAAAAATCCTCATGCTGTTTGATCACACAACTATGTGCTGTTTATTCACAGATTCTCATGTAGTTTGATCACACATTTTCTACTAGATCACACATTCTCATGTTGTTTGATCACACATTTTCTACTAGATCATACATTCTCATGTTGTTTGATCACACATTTTCTACTAGATCACACATTCTCATGTTGTTTGATCACAATCTTGACATTGTCTGTCAGCTAATTTTTTTAAAACTCTGTTATCACACATCTCCTTTCATTTGATCACAATTCTCATTTTATCTTTGTTTACACATCCTCATGCTGTTTATTCACACATCCTCATGCTGTTTGTTCACACATCCTCATGCTGTTTGTTCACAAATTCTCATGCTGTTTGTTCACACATTCTCATGCTGTTTGTTCACACATTCTCATGCTGTTTGTTCACATATCCTCATTCTGTTTGTTCACACATCCTCATGCTGTTTTTTCGCACTCCTCATGCTGTTTGTTCACATATCCTCATGCTGTTTGTTCACATATCCTCGTGCTGTTTGTTCACACATATTTATGCTGTTTTTTCGCACTCCTCATGCTGTTTGTTCACATATCCTCATGCTGTTTGTTCACATATCCTCATGCTGTTTGTTCACACATCCTCATGCTGTTTGTTCACATATCCTCATGCTGTTTGTTCACACATCCTCATGCTGTTTTTTTGCACTCCTCATGCCATTTATTCACACTGATCTCCAATAGTTTATGGGCCAGATAAAAGAGAAGCAGACAGAGCGGGACAGGGGAGACTGGAGCCGCTTGTCTGAAGCACAGAGACATCAGGAGGAGGCCAACCTGCAGCAGATCTCTCGCCTTGCCCAGTACCACAATGTCATGGGCAGTGCAACCATCAGCACCCTGAAGATGATTACGGGAGAAATCCAGTCCATATTTTGTCACCCAACATTTGTGGACAGAATCGCCAGTATGCTAAACTACTTCTTATGTCGACTGGTAAGTTGTGTGTACAGTATATATTGTGGATTGGAACAAATATAAATGGTTGACCTATATTACTGAGTGGGAGCGGCTCTAGTACAGTGGCTAGATTCTGGCCTGAAAGTCATGGATTTGAATCTGCTTCAGTGCACTTTTTAACAGTAGACCATAACTCCTAGGATGACCCAGCTGAAAGTGGGTACCAGGAAATGTTCTGAGAAATAAAAATGGCTTGTGTGATGCTGACCACATCACGAATGGCTGCTGATTGATACATACAAATATGGGTGTAACAGTATATCTCTGATACACTGATGATATGACAAGATTTTTTCTTGCACAACTCACATTTGACAAACTCTTTATTATTGTGAGTTTTGGTGGAAATTGCAAAGTGACTCATAGATATCTTTTAATAACTCTTACATCCTCTATTAGAGTAGTAAAGATTACTTTTGTAAGTCTGTCTTAGAGAATTTATATTACCTTTTCACCAACTAAGATTTATATAAATATATTTTACAATTTGAACATTCTAAGTTAGAAAATATTACATGTTACAAGTCCATATTTAGCTTAAACTAACTCAAATTTACTGAAAAGTAGATTGAAGATAAAATTAGCTCACATAATAAACTAAAACAGTATGTAGTAAGATCATGTTGACAAATGTTCAGAAGTCTTCTCATCAAAGTAGCTGTGTGGTGAATTCTCTCAGGCCAAGACAGTTATATCAACACATGAATGAACACAGTCTGTGACTGGGATCCTCAGAAGGAAAAGACATGCACAGATGCAACCAGTGGGCAGAACAGGAGCCCTCAGGATGATGATGTGTAATGTGGGGCTGGCTGTTACAGTATTTGTATAAATGAGAAGGCAGATAAACTTGCGATTGATGAACAATTCAGACTGAAGATACCACAGCATATAATTCGGTTATGAAATATACAAATACAAATGGACTTTACCTACAGATGTAGTCATATTTTTTTTAATTACAAAGTGGTAATATATATTTTGTCAGAGGCGTCATTTTTTCTGTCCACAGGTTGGTCCCAAGCAGAAGGAGTTGACCGTGAAGGACAAAGAGAACTATGATTTCAAGCCACAGGAGACGGTTTCCAACATCTCGGCCATCTATCTGAACTTGCAGACCAGTGATCTCTTCTGTCAGGCAGTCTATAAGGATCAGAGATCATACACACCTGAGTTGTTCAAACAGGTGAGAATATATATTCCTATTCTTCTCTGGTCCTGTTCTGCCTTTCAGTGTCAAGTTTTGAAGAGACATTGGGTGTGAGCCTTGGTTTGTGCTGTGTAGATGCTGTTAAGTACAGCCTTGGAAATTCCTTCTATCCATCGTTTGCATGGTCGACCTCTAGTCTGCTTCCTTCATGTCTGAGTGACAGGCTGTCTGTGGTGCACTATCTGATGGTAGTATTGACACAGGTCCAAACCATTTCATCTACTATCTCTTGATGTAGTTTAGTTCTGGTTCCGTCCCAACTTCTTTCCTAATATCATGTGTCTTGACACAGGTCCAAACCATTTCATCTACTATCTCTTGATGTAGTTTAGTTCTGGTTCCGTCCCAATTTCTTTCCTAATACCATGTGTATTGACACATGTCCAAACCGTTTCATCTACTATCTCTTGATGTAGTTTAGTTCTGGTTCCATCCCAACTTCTTTCCTAATATCATGTGTATTGACACATGTCCAAACCGTTTCATCTACTATCTCTTGATGTAGTTTAGTTCTGGTTCCATCCCAACTTCTTTCCTAAAATCATGTGTATTGACACATGTCCAAACCGTTTCATCTACTATCTCTTGATGTAGTTTAGTTCTGGTTCCATCCCAACTTCTTTCCTAATATCATGTGTATTGACACATGTCCAAACTGTTTCATCTACTATCTCTTGATGTAGTTTAGTTCTGGTTCCATTCCAACTTCTTTCCTAATATCGTCAGATCTAATCCTGTCTGTTCTAATTATATTTAGAATTCGTCATAAAAATATAATTTTTTTGTTTCGATTTTTCTTTTTTCTCTCATCTTGAATGTCCATGTTTGGTGACCGTAGAAAATAATCTAGTGAACAGTGCTCTTTTGGTGTAAGTTGTGACATGTTTGTTCTGCAGAATTGGTGACATTTCTCCAGTGATTTGATGTACTTTGTTCCGTCTGTGTTCTGTAGCTGTTTCCAATTTTCAGTTGGGTGATATTATGCTCCCTTACTGTACCACACACTAGTCACTGCACAAAACACTAGTCACTGTACCGCATACGCTATTCACTCTATCAAACACTAGTCACTGTACCGCATACGCTATTCACTCTATCAAACACTAGTCACTGTACCATACACTAGTCACTCTACCATACACTAGTCACTGTACCAAACACTAGTCACTGTACCCCACACACTAGTCACTGTGCCGCACACACTAGTCACTGTGCTGCACACACTAGTTACTATACTGCACACTAATCCTTGTAACAGACACTAGCCACTGTGCCACACACTACCACATGCTAGTTTTACTACATTCTGGCTACTGTGTTTGTGTAGATGGATAGATGGATTGATTGGTGGCTGAATTGAGCGGTGCTTGGATTTTACAAACTGAGGCAAGTTTAACAAAAATCTTTTAGCACATTGCGGGGATTTGAAAAGTGTACTTTTGAAACTGTTAAATGTCTAATTCCTTTCTTTACAGGCATGCCAGGTTTTGGAGAAAATTGGAAGTTCCCCTCAGACAATATTAGACTTCATGGAGCTTGATGAGAAGATTAAAGTATGTTCTTTACAATGTATTGTGAGCTTTTTTTTTAGAGCTGCTGATGAAACTTTCTTGACTTAAGGGTTTTTCTCAGAGAAAATTATATTCTATATATTACTGAGTTCCACAGATTTTTATTTCACACAATTATCAGATTATTTTTAACAAACTAACCTACATATTTTCAGCGAATGCTGGGCTTGAGAGGCTGTCGTGCAGATAAGTTTTATGTGTGATGAATCTGTATCCCGTCAGTACTCAGAAATGTATATGGTTCCCGTCATGCTAACCGCCTTCCTAAGACATTTCTTGATACCCATTTTAGACTAGGACCCTAAAGCATACAGTACTCACAGTTATTTCTTTACCAGCAGGTCAATAAATTATTTAACTCTGTAAATGCTTCCATAAAATTAGAGTCAGATATAACCTGAAAGAAAATACATCATATTTCAACAAAAAAGTCTGGCATATATTTATGCCAGTTAATGTTTCAAACACAGAGTCAATTACTGTGGATCCCTTCCCTAAGAAGCACTAGGAAAAATGCTGTTTACTGAAAGTAGTTTTATATTCTTTTCAAGGCATCATAAACCAGACCCAGCATTTTTGTTTGTCTGTTATTTTATAAGGCAATTTGACATTCAGTAGTTTGCCAATGTTTTTTCACGGTTAATGCTGATACTACCATAAAGCAGTCTACTGCTAGATCGCTTGGAGCTGACTTTGAACCCAATATGAAACTGTTCATAACCCCTAACCCACAAATCCTTAACTAGCTTACATAAACACTATCAGTACATATTTCAGTTACTCTCATGTTTTTGTTACTCTCATATTTCAGTGGTTAGCGTTTCATTTTTTGTGTTCCTGTACATGATGACTTTTTGAAATTGCTTTTCATACTGTTACAAAAAACACAAGATGCAATGGATTGTGGAGAACATCAGACATTTAGTTAATGAACCATAGAACGAAAATATATTAATGACAGTGATGAAGTGAAAAATGAAATGCAAAATTAAACCGGCAGTTGGAGAGGAGTAGTATGGTTTTCTTGATAGTATCATCACAAACAGCACCTTATTTGCCATATAAACTCTTACAGAAAGAATGAATGAAATGAACAGAGATCAGTCTGTATTAATGCTTTGTTGATTACTTCTTCACATTCACTGGCTGTAAACTCCAGCAGAAAGTTCTGGTTGTTTGTCCACATTTGCACTTCAGTCTTGTTCCAGAATTTGAATTTTACATACACATCTATTTTACAGTTCTGGCTTATTTATGTGCAGACTATTGGTTCCTTGCCCCTCAGGCTTTCTGACTTGGAAAGAAGCAGCCCCTAATTAGTCACCACTTATGTCATGTGTTTTAGGAGGCAGTGGGTCTTTTTCTTGTATCTATCACACTGGGGTCGCTGAACCCACACATAATATTGAGAGAACAAAACCAACATTCTTGTGCAAAAATGTACTCAACATTTATGTAGACAGGAATAAAATAGAGGTGGAAACTGAAAAACTAAGATTGTGAAAACTGCCATCTTGTAAGAAATCCGCATATTAGATTTGCCAACTGTTTATTTTCACTGAGTCCATGTATGTCTTGATATCAACTTAATGTCCTTCTTGTTAAAAGTATTTGTTTCCACGCCTTCAGGCCTATTGGTCTAGACCTATATTCGATAGAGCATTTGGCACTTAGTAGGCGATATGGTCAGCATCACGCCTGCCGCCTTTACTTTCAAAAAGTCCAGCTCTGTCAGGACCTAAACCCACGACCTTCTGATCCTCAGGTGAAGCGTTTAGCCACTACACCATGGGGGCTGCTTGTTGGACAGACAAAGTCTTTAATATGTTTTGTTTTCATCAGGAGATGCAGACTGCTAAAATGTCAGAGGAACAGGCACTAGTTGATGCACCTGAAGAGTTCCTAGATCCAATTATGGAAACATTGATGACTGATCCTGTGATGCTTCCATCCTCACGCAAGATTGTGGATAGGACAGTTATAGCCAGACACATTCTCAGGTCGGTGACAAACCACAGTCTATGTTTCTTGACTCGTGTTTACATTTGGTTTCAGAAAAGAAATGGGTTCCAAGCTGGTGGACACACCTGGTAGAGGGGACAAGTCAGAAGGATCTACAATGTTAGATAACAGTGGTTGTAGACAGTGATAATTTTTTTCAGACTGAAAATAAGGGAAATGGAAGTTATAGTCCAATCACTGGCATGGTCAAGTAAAAGAGTAAGTAAAGGATGTTTTTTTTTATGCCAGTGGTGCTTCAGGCAAACAATGTTAGATCTATCTTTTTCTGTATAGAACAAAAGGCACTTGATGGGTGATGTGGACAACTTTGCACCAGCTACCTTTACTTCCCAGGACATTACCTGGTACCTATTTTAGGCTGGATTAACCTGGCAGTCAAGATCAGTTGTGAAAAAAATCTGCCTTATTGTGGATTTGAACCCTAGATCTTTAAACTCAGCAGACAATCTAACCGCTATGCTACCGCAGCTCCCATGCCTAAATGTACTGTTGAATTTAGAATCAACATCATAGCACTCAAGACACTCCCATAAGCGCTCCATCCTCATCGTCAGCAGGAAAGAGAGTTCCAATTCCGATGACATCAGTAAAAAATGTACAGTCAAAGTTTGTTACACAAATTGTGGTTAGATACAGACATTTTGTGTGTCTAGGCACAGGAATAACATCAGATTCCAGTTTGATCCCAGAGGCAAATGCACTTTTCTGTAATTTTGTTTTGTATAGGTTCACTATATTTTGAAGATTTGGCCCACGGGCCGCCAGTTGAATAGCCCTGCTCTAGAGGTTTGAATACACAGAAGAGTGTTGTTTTAGAAACAACAATGATCAGAATACAGAGGTCTAAGAAGACTTCACATGAGAATTGAGTTCCTCAGAAGGAATGAATTAGAGACAAACAAAATATTGTAGCTACATTAAAAGACCTAGCAGTCTTATAAAAACAATAGTTAAGGGAAAAGGTGAAAGCGAATGGGCAGGTCATTTTAGCATCAGATTGATTGACTGAGTACTGTAAACCATCTTGAGAATTGCTAGTTAGTAAACTGCGGGCTTCTATGCTCATTTTAAAAAAAAAAAAAAGTAGTCTTCAAGATATCATGCCCACAGTGCAGATAATCTAGATTGCCAGTGCACACACACCAAAACTGAAGCATGGTTCTGGTCACAAGTGATGCACTCCTTCCCGCAAGTTGTGATACTTCTCTGGTAGCTCCAGCTTCATTTGGATGTCTTAAACGAGTCTGACCCTGCTGAACCCAGCACATCATGCATGTCATTGTTTTGCAGCCGGAACATCACCAACCTACTTGATGACCTTCAGTTTACACTTTGATGTCTGTGCCTTTTATCCTTGTGTTAGACACACCCAGGGCCGCTTGACGTCTTCTGGCAACATTTACTGTGAGCTAAGAATGCTACAGATCTAAAAGGGATGAATATAGGCTCACGGCAGCTCTGCTGTTGGACTGTGATGTGTCGTCACATGTTCTAGGCCAGGGTTATTCAGCTAAGTTCACTTGCGCTTCAAAATGTTGAAAATGAGAATCCTCACGGGCCAATGGCCAAAACCCAAGTGTGGACAGTTTTCTCTCGCACATGCACACACATACAGAATAACGCTTTAAACAAAATTTCAATAGGTAACTTTAATTAACTCTAAAAATGTTACATCTAGACTTAGGGCCTAACCTACAGTAATATAAATGAAGCAGTGATATAAACCATTGTAATGTTAAATGTTTTTCAATCTTTTGTAGTGATTAATTTATACTCACATTTATTTGAAATATATCCAACTCTTCCTTGGAATTATAAATACATCTTAGCATTATCACTTCAGTTGTAATTATAATATTAATAACTGTCCACAGTTCGTTTCTTATGACTTTGTGCAGAAGAAACTAGTTATTACAGTGCAAAATGTCATTAATGGGAACAGTTGCATTTCCATTTTCGAGCTAATTTTATCAAATTTGGCTGGTTTGAAGTCAGGGCAATTCTCATGTAATCCTAGCAGTGAAATCTTCTGGATACAATTTTCTGAAATGTGCATGTTTCATTCTAAACTGCTGCATCACATTGTATTCTTTACTGCTGACACACATTCAATGCATAGCAAGTACACTGGTTTCAAAGTAGGCATAATCCATAATAGAAATGAATTTTTCAGTGTCCAGTCACTGTTGAATGCGCGATTTTCACCTTCCCACTTTCCTCTTTTACTAGTACTAGCTATGGTGTCAAGTATTTAACAAAATTATTAAAATTTAGATAATTTAAAACTGTTACTGTCTCTGTTTGTTAGTTGACAATGGTATGTGGTAATCTTTGGTTAGGTTGTGACTTGTGTGTGACTGGATGTTCACAAAAATCTGGTTATAATCTGATAACAAGATCACTATCAGGTGTCCAGTGTCACTTGTGTTCTGCAGCCCCCATCACTCAATGCCATTAGTTTGTGTCTACCAATGGCAACCATTTGGGAAGTTGCTCAGTAATCTAAGCGCTAACTATCAGGATTGTGCTTGTATTTTTATTTGCCCTCCTGTGCAATAAATATCTCACCTTTACTGATTGTTTATAGAGTGATAGCTTTCATTTCAGCTACTTTATTTTTTTCTGTCCTATCTTATTACCTTTGACAACCAACAGGCAAGTTCTCCTAACTTTGTGAACTGACTTTGACCCCTGCATGAGACATATCCTGTTGTTGTGGTATTTTTTGTTCCCACGCTGGTTGGGGTTCACTTGTATCTTCGTGTTTACAAATTCCAGATAAACATTTCCTATTGATATATTCGTCAGAACTGGTTTTTGGAGATTTATACATAATACATTGAATTTTTTTTTTAGTAGCTATATTTCACTGTTTTGGCAACGACTTGCGGGACAATTGCTAGGCCAGATTTGGTCCATGGACCGCCATGAATAGCCCTGTTCTAAGCTAAGACATAATATGGTGAGGTGGCCAGTTTTTCTCAGGAAAATGAAAATTGTGTGGGTTAACCCCTGAGCTCTGATTATGTGAAGAAAAATAATCCTCTCCCAGCCAGTACTGGACATCGAACCCAGTTTGAGCAGACAGCGAACTGGACTGCTCTTGTGAAAGTGCTTTTCATTTGAAAACATTCTGACCTAGAGTTGACCCTAAGCTTGTAGATTGTTGCATGACAGTCTAGGCTTCCTGTTGCTGATGGCCGTTGACTTGTTTCTTGTGTCCCTTTATGTTTCAGTGATCAGACAGACCCGTTCAACAGACAGCCCTTGTCTCTAGACAAGGTTATTCCTCAGCCAGAGCTGAAGGCCAAGATTGAGGCCTGGGTTGCAGACAGGATGAAGAATTTATAGCATTGGTGCTGGCATCGTTGTGTTGATTTGATGGTTGATTTATGCCTGTGGTGAGAAATGAAAATTCAAGAATCCGTGAATGAACATGGGAAAATAATGAACACACTACAGCTGACCTGTGACAAAAAGTGAAAATCAAATATGTCATGAATGACATTCTAGCAAGATGCTGTGTTTTGCTGGTATCAGAGACTGTACAAGTCCATCTAGTACAATTTTGTGAATAGAAATTGTTCACCTAAGGTGAAGAATGAACTGTTAGTTGTTCTGTGCCATCGGGCTGAACTACAGGTATTGCGTTTCTGCATGCTGTTTGCTTGAAGGAAACTGTTTTTTTCTCAGATGCGATCAGAATCAATTTCTTTACATGGAAACATCATGTCGTGCAAGTTCTTCTCAAGGATTTCGGTGTATTTATTGACTAAATATCTTATTTAATTTATTTAATGTGATCATATTTGGCAGGGATATGTAGCTGATCACATTATCTCAGAATTCACAAGTGTAATGCAAACTAGCTTACATATCTACATTGTTTAGAATAGATTGTATGAGTCGAATAACTTCATTGGTTATAATAGATTGTATGAGTCGAATAACTTCATTGGTTATAATATTAACTAGAAAATATAAATGATTACAGTAGATTGTAAGAACTGGATAACTTTATTGGTTAGAATAGATTGTATCAGAGGATTTTATTGGTTACAATAGAACCTATGGGCCAGATAAATTTATTGGTAACATTGTAACGGCTAGAGAACTTCATTGTTATCAGAGGATTTTATTGGTTATGATAGATTGTATCAAAGGATTTTATTGGTTACAATAAAATGTATGGGCCAGAGAAATGTATTGGTAACATTGTTTTGGCTGGAGTACTTCATTGGCATCAGAGGATTTTATTGGTTACAATAGAATGTATGGCCAGATAAATGTTTTGGTAAAAAGTACATTCTAACGGCTGGAGAACTTTATTGGTATCAGAGGATTTTATTGGGTACAATAGATTGCATCAAAGGATTTTATTCGTTACAATAGAATGTATGGGCCAGAGAAATTTATTGGTAACATTGTTACAACTGGAGAACTTCATTGGCATCAGAGGATTTTATTGGTTACAATAAAAAATATGGGCTAAAGAAATGTATTGGTAACATTGTCACGGCTGGAGAATTTCATTGGTATTAGAGGATTTTATTGGTAAGAATAGATTGTATCAAAGGATTTTTTTTTAGTTACAATAGAAAGTATGTGCTGGAGAAATTTATTGGTAAAAAAAAATACATTGTAACGGCTGGAGAACTTCATTAGTACAAGATAATTTTATTGGTTAGAATAGGATTATAGGCCTAAGAAATGTATTGGTAAAGATACATTGTATCGGTCAGAGCACTTCATTAATTAAAACAAATTGTATTGGTCTGAGAACTTGATTGGTTAAAATAGATTGTATTGGCTAGAGAACTTGATTGGTTGAAATAGATTGTATTAGCCAGAGAACTTTATTGGTTGGAATAGATTGTATTAGCCAGAGAACTTTATGGGTTGAAATAGATTGTATTAGCCAGAGAACTTTATTGGTTAAAATAGATTGATTTGGCCAGAGAACTTTATTGGTTAAAATAGATTGAATTGGCCAGAAAACTTTATGGGTTGAAATAGATTGTATTGGCTGGAGAACTTTATTGATTGGAATAGATTGTATTAGCCAGAAAACTTTATGGGTTGAAATAGATTGTATTAGCCAGAGAACTTTATTGGTTGAAATATATTGTATTGGCTGGAGAACTTTATTGGTTGGAATAGATTGTTTTAGCCAGAAAACTTTATTGGTTGAAATAGATTGTATTGGCCAGAAAACTTTATTAGTTAAAATAGATTGTATTGGTCATAGAACTTTATTGGTTGGAATAAATTGTATTGGCCAGAGAACTTTTTTAGTTGAATAGATTTATCAACCTGAGAATTTTTGCCTGTGGCTGTGCCATAATTCTTTCTTTCTTTTTTTTTTGTTTTTTGTTTTTTTTTGTTTTGCATGTGAGTTAAATTATTCAGAACAGGTTGCATGCAAAGGTATTTTTAAAGGGGGAAAAAAGCTAACTTGGTCAGATTCTTTGGCAGACATCTCTGCCAGCAATGTCCAGTGAGATTCTTTGGCAGACATCTCTGCCAGCAGTGTCCAGTGAGATTCTTTGGCAGACATCTCTGCCAGCAATGTCCAGTGAGATTCTTTGGCAGACATCTCTGCCAGCAGTGTCCAGTGAGATTCTTTGACAGGCATCTCTTCCAGCAGTGTCCAGTGAGATTCTTTGGCAGACATCTCTGCCAGCAGTGTCCAGTGAGATTCTTTCGCAGACATCTCTGCCAGCAGTGTCCAGTGAGATTCTTTGGCAGATATCTCAGCCAGCAATGTCAAGTGAGATTCTTTGGCAGACATCTCTGCCAGCAGTGTCCAGTGAGATTCTTTGGCAGTCATCTCCTCAGTCAGCAATGTCTAGGGTTTGGTGGTAGCGTGAGATGACAGCCAAGTCTGACACATGCAGGCACTAAGTGCCCTTTTTAAACCAAGGCTGTCAGCCTCATTAAAAAAAAGAGTACAAGACAATGTCCAGGATTGTCTGGAAAGATGGGAAGGAAGGGAACTGGTCCCACCTTACTTGTCATAACCTAGAATATGTACAGGTAAATTTTAAAACACCTCAGTTACTGTGTCTACTGGGAGACTACTTTTGTCAAGGCTGACATAATGCATCTTTCTGAAGTACTAGGGCAGAAAAGGTGGAGGCTGGAAGTAAATGAAAAGTGTGGTATGCTTTGACACATCACTGATGCCTGATTTCTCTGCAGACAAGATGGCAGTGTCAGCAGGACCCAGCCTTACAAGGTGTGACTCATAAGATCTGTGTGAGGAGGAGACATGGTGATTTGGAAGGCAGCTGGCTATATGTATGTGTGTGTGTAGATGTGTAGCTTTTTAGTGGTTGTGAATGCAGTTTGTAATTCCAAAATACCTGGTTCACTTCAGCTGCATGCAGCAGACTACTTTGTATTGACTTTGACAGTGGTATAGAGGGTTGACCATTCAAGAGAAATGGCAAACTATTGACTGTAAAATTGCCTAGGAAAACACCATACAGCCACCAAATGCTTCTCATGCCTACAGTTGTATCAGTGCTGTTTATTGCCTTTACCTTAACTCTTGACTTGGGGTCCTTGTGATGTCTGAAGAAAGCTAAAACATTGCACTAGGAACGTGTAATTGTTTACTTACAGAACTTGTCAGAATGTGATCTGGAAAAATACAGTACCTGAACATTGATGAGTCTTCTGCGTGTATCTTTACTGTGGCACAGCCAATGGAAGTAGTCATTGTTGGCTGAAAAATGTGTCCAGAGATTGTCAGACACATGTTTATTTCATATTTAGAGTAGAATGAAAATGAGGAGACCAACAGATTAGATGGTTTTGTCACCTCAGGAAAATAGTCCCATACCAACTACTATAGAAAGCCACACAAAAGAAATATAATTAATGCGTAGCAAGAAGACTGAGCAAACGGTGGAATGATGCCGTCTTTTGCTTAGTATTCTTGTTATTCTTTTTTTTTTTTTTTAACTAATTTTAATACTTTCAAAATACATTGAGGTACATAGTTTTATAGGTCAGGTGCCCGGCTCTCTAGCGAAGTTGGTTAAACCTGACTTTCGCGGCGGTCGGTTGACAAACTCCTTGTGGTCCGGGTTCACTCCCGGGGGTAGGCAGAAAAGCCACATTTCTCCCAGATTAACGGTAACTATAATGGAATCAAGGCCGAAGGGTTGCGATATCCATAGTACCGAGCCAAGGGTTTACAACTCATGGTTTCTGGATACGTTAAAAACAAAAAAAATAGGTCAGGTATGCAGATGATTTGGTTATTGTTTGCAACAGGGCTAAGGGGTCCAAACAGTTAACTACAGTCAGTGAACTGACATTATGACCTGTTCTTACCACTTTTGCCCTCTAGACAGTGATAGAAAAACTGTTTTGAAATCTTCAGTTTAAAAAAATATTGATGACATAGATATACATAGGCCAATCCAAAGTCACAGTCAAGAATTGCAAGTACTGAAAATGTCACAAACTTTGAATACCTCTGCTCCATAAGTAACAATGGATAAGGACACAAGCTAAAGCAATACATAAGATAAGCAACATTAAGAACCTATGACACAACACCAACAAACAGAGTTCATGTGTGGAGAACATGTTCTTTCCTATTGTACAAGGCCCGACAATTAAGTAATGAGACTGATTTCATGATGGTCAAGACAAAAATGCCATCTATGAAGCAAAGCATGGAATCTAAAGAGGGAACATTCGTCTATGATCTGGCAACTTTTCATCTTCCCTCAAAAAGCCGACATTTTGTTGACCTAGTCAGAGGTGCATTGTTACATAATCAGCACAGAGCAAAAAGCTAACATTAAATTCTTTTTGAAACTCAGAAAAAGCACTACTGAAACAGTTGAATTGATGCAACAAATTTATGGGGATAATTATTTATTTCGTGCACAAATTTTCAGGTGGTATTTACAATTCAAAAGTGGTGTGGAAATGATTACTAATGCACCTAGACCTGGATGCCAAATTTCTGTTCGTAATGATGCACTCATTGCAAAAGTCAGAAAACGGATACAAGCAGATCATTGCTTTACTGTGAGGATGATGGCAGATGAATCTGGTGTTAATAGTGAGACCATTCATAACATTTTAATGCAAGATTTTTGACAGGAAAAAAGTTGCTTGCCGGTTTGTACCACATTTTTTGTCTGATGACCAAAAACATCAGCGGGTTAAGTACCTAAAAGAAATAAAATCAAAACAAGAATTTTTGGCCCAAAAACAAGTGTGTGTTCTCAGCCTTCCACTCTGTTCCCCAGATTTGTCTCCCTGTGATTATTTTCTATTTTAAAAATTAAAGTTACGATTGAAAGGACACTTCTTTAACGATATTG